AACATCCTCTCAGAACTACTCTGAACTTCCCCTCAGAACTACTCTGAAGTTCTTCCAAAAACTACACTAGATCTTCGATGAAGTTTTCAACATTTTCCTGAAATGTTCGAAGTTGTCTGATTATTCTCTTGAATAACCAGTTTTGCCTTTGCTATGATTCACCATTTACACCCACTCGCCATCTGTGAGTCAATCGTCACTTTGATTCATCAATGGGGAGGTGTCTTTTGCTAAATTTTGAGATCATAGCGAGATGTCGTCGAATTTTAAAATCAACAATTATCAGTTTTTATGTTGTTAAAATGCATTCAAAACATCATTTTTACAACAAACGATAAAATTACCTAACGGAATAGATGAATTTACGCGAAACTGCACCAGTGCATGCGACACCTAGGTTTGAAATCCAAACCACAAAAGTGATGATGTACTAAAAAATATTCCATACGATTTGACAGATAGCAAAACGTCATTATCATTTTTTCATCATTTCGAGGGGGGCGACTCAATCTACGATGCAGGAAAAATTGTATAATGAGAGAGAGAAGGATTAGTATTTTCCATTTAATTCCACTACTTTATTTGCTTATCCTTGACAGATACGCGTATTTCGTCTACAATGTGCAGACTTCTTCAGTGTCTTGTACTAATACTCGACTTTGCGACTTTGCGAAATTGTGTTTTGCTGTGGTTAGATGCATGCACACTGAGTAGATAGAAAGAAGATTGATGACGATTCTGAAGATTTCCTGCAAAAAGATGATGGACGATGCAAGTAGATGGGAAAAATTATTGAAGATTTTTCGAAGATTGATTCGCTAGTGTGAGATTTGTTGAGCATCTAGAATTGAGATTTAGATGTGTCGCCCCCCTCGCATCATTTCCATCTGCTGGTCGACCGTAACGTAAGTTCATCAATAATTGATCAGACCAAGGGGTGTTCAACTCTGCACACCTCAATCTGCGCCGAGTGATCTAGTTGTGCCTAGCGCTATAGAGTTCTCTACCACCGTTAGTATTAGTGAGCAGTTTCACTAATACAAGCATTTTACTGGTTGAAAATAAAAAAAAAAAACAAACCGCTGTCAAGTCGAACACTTTGATAGCTGATTTCGTGGTTGAAAATAATAAACAAATCGGGATCCGTTCTTCTTCTTCTTCTTCTTCTTCTTCGCATTTCAAGCTTATTGCTTATCGCATTTTAGCTTATTGCGTGCTCTCAACTTAGTGTTCTAGATGCACTTCAGCAGTTATTAATTGAGAGCTTACGATGCCTGTACCATTTTTGCATTAGTATAATTGTGTGGCAAGTACAATCATACTCTATGCCCAGGGAAGTCGAGAAATTTTCCAAGCCGAAAAATTCCTAGACCGGACCGGGAATCGAACCCAGCCACCTCCAGCATGGTCTTGCTTTGTAGCTGCGCCTTTACTGACTGAGCTAAGGGAGGCCCCAAATCGGGATCCGTTACGGCTGCCTTGACTGCCGTATCGACCAACTATGGTGTGGACGAACTTGTATTATAAGCTTTTCTGGACAAAACCACTAGCCACAGGGGTTTTCGCAGCTAGTCAAATTAGATGGACTGAGTTTTGTTAGATTGAAAGGATTCATGGTGCAGAAGCTACTTACAGATTTTGAAATGTGCCATGCCACAATCCTCGAATTTATTGGGTTACATTGGAGTAAAGAAAGTATTAATTCTTAGCAACGATTGGCTAAACGTCAACACTCGACAGTGATGCCATTTTATATTATATTTTTTGCGTTCTACTTGTCAACGTGTACCTTAACGTACCGAACAGTGTGCCATGCTGTGTTTTGGCACAGTGTGCAGAGTTGATTACCCCTAGGATCAGACCATTATTCCGCAAGGAAAGTGAAATTGCATTCAGAATGCGCCACCTTCATGTCGATCACGATACTAATGTAATCGATCTTTCCTTTACCGATTCCTTTTGAACTGCCAGTACAGAAATGCTAAGGAAAAGTAATTTCTTCAAGAAACTCAATACGCCTTTTTAATAGACACTAAGCGATCGCTTCAACCTCTGATGGTAAATAAGAGAACATCAAAAAGGGTGTTGTGAGCAGAAATTTTTGCCGCGAGACATACGAAGCGGAACACTTTATCACTATTCCTGATGAATTGATTCATCTGAGATGCTCCAAAACTTGATCTACAGTTGAAAATTTTAATTCTTCCTCGTTTTTGGGGGTTTCCTGCTGGTGTTCAGGAATATTTTTGTTGATGAAAATGGAAAATTAGAATTGTGCTTTAATGGTTGTGATCTTCCGGATTTCTTGTGTGTGACTAGTTTAGATGCAAATCAGTTCAGATCTGGAAATAATGGAAATTGGAAAAATTTTCAACGACAAATTCTTTAATTTACGTGTGTAAAATCTCCATTCGAACTGCCTGGCGCGCACTCTACGTTGGTGGTGCATTAAAAAGGCCTATCGCACCACGGTTTGCAGCTGGTGAGTTTGATTGGAAGATTGCCGTAAAAGCTCAACGCAGGTGTCGCCACTGCATGATGATGATAATGTTGACAGACTGCATATAAAATTCGTGAAAATTAGCGTTAAATCATAATTTTCATCAAGCCTGTGTAAAATTCTTCCAATATAACATTCGAATTGAAGAAGAAAACGTTTTTACGATCAGACTGATGTGCAACTTTGACTTTTCCAGTTGAACTTTCATAAGATATATTCATTTCATTTCGCGGTTCCAACAATGCTGCATCGTAAATATGATGTAAACAGAAGTAAATTGCTCAATTACTCAAAATAGAGATGATTTGTCATCTTGCTATCACTTTGAAGACCATCTAGCACCATTTTATAGTATGGTGCGTGTTGAGTAAAGCAAGTTCCGTTGCGTTTTCTGTCGAAAATTGTGAGTATCAATATGTTTGCTAACAAAAGGCCAAAATGAACATTTATTGAATATTGGCGTCCTATACAACCAATTCTTCATTACCACCAGCATGATACAACCTTTCCTAAGTAAATTCACTTAATTTCCACTTTCATCCTAGTGGAAATCGCACATATTCACCATTTTCCGAAAAATGCCGCTGCGCAATAGGCAACCTCTCCCTGTGGGTGCAAACTTGTTATGCATAATTTTCCATGAAAACATCTCCGATCCATACCGAAATAATAACAGTTAGTTTGCAAACATCTTCTTACACGATTCAAGCAAAAGTTTCCACGGGAAATTATTAGTTTTTCTTTATGTACCGATTTGCCCCAAAAATCGTCTGTTTTACTTGGAGAATTTGGAAACTATCCTCCTTCTAGTAGTTCTCACTTCGAAATGTAGGTGACGAAAGCATGGAAAAGTTTCACTGCAAGACGCCAATTGCTTGAGCTGCGATTTCAAAGCTTGCACACCAAATTTCAGATTTGAAAACCAGCTAAACGGATTACTGGCACAAGATCAGCAAACCATGAGTTTTGCCGAAAATCAGCTAACAATTCAGAGGAAACATGTCAGAAGGGTATAACTCGAAACGTAAACAACGATTTCTCTTGAATGACCACACACCCACGGAATCTGACTACACTAGCTCATAGAACAAACATTTCTCTGTCAGATGATTTAGTTAGTTTGAGTGGGTATGTAGTTATTCGTAAGAAACCGACGATCCAAGTCATTGTGTACGTTTCGAGTTAGACCCTTCTGACATGTTTCCCCTGAATTGTTTTTTACTGAATACTACAGCAAACATGAGTGATCTAATGGAAATCAATGAAGAGCTGTCAAAGTTTTAGCGTCACAATCAATCAAGTAACGTTGCACAGAAGTTAAAATGGGTGTTTAGAGGTTGCCGCGAATTTATATCTCAAATTCTTCGGTGATTTAAGATGGTAAGTTTTCCAGTAATTCATGTATGAATATTGCTAATATACTTTAATACATGCCGAACTTATGTGTTAATTAGGTTAATCTCCACAACTGTCAAGAAACATGCTCCCGGCTTGATGAGAATAATTCTTTCTCAAGGACCTACCTTATACCTCGTATAATACGATGGTATCAGCCTATAAACATTAAATTGAAGTGAAAACTGACAGCACCAAATTAATTAATCATGGAAAAATGTATGCTATATTCTTTTAAAATAATAAAGAAAATATTCAAGAACACCCTGCTAATGAAAAAAAAAAAGAATTTTCTGATAATTTCAGCAAAATCCTCGCAAATATCAGATTTTTGGATTGCTGAAAAAATATGTAAAAAAATATTGCTGAAATTTTAACTGATTTTCAGTAAAATGTTGTCATTTTGACAGAAGTTGAAATTGCTGGTAGATTCAGCAGCATTATTTTGCTGGAAAGTTTGCTGATCGTTCATCAAGTCCAAAATCAGCAAACAAATTTGGGGTGTGCAATATCAACCGCAGCTGTTTACTTGTTGTCTACGAAAATCAAGCGTGATCTTGTTCTTTGGTGAGATTTGATCATTCTATTGGGAACAATCTTCTCAGTGATCTACAACCAACGCAAATTCTCGTTTTGCCCACAGATTGATTTCTAACGCATGGTTTCGAATGAGTGTTTCTTCTCCAAAATTACCTGTGTTCAGTTGCCTTTTTTTCTAAGTTCTACCCAAGTGTTTTCTTTCGTTCCTCTATATTTTCCCTATCAAACATCATTTCATAGAAAAACAAAAATCGAATCGAAAATTTGACCATTCACAACCAACCGCCCACACACACACACACACACACACGCATACACAAACACACTACATCAAGCGCACTTCATTTTTTTCAAAATCTCGATCTCTAACCCCCATCGCTCGCCATCACACGTGTGTGTTACTACCGCTAAACCGAAAAAAAAAGTAAATCCAAAACGAACCCTAATTCGGCATTGCTATTGTACAAACGAACAACAAAAATCACTTTAAAATTAAGGAAAAAAAAACAAATTCAAAAAAACCACCCTTACGAATCAAATGTACCCCACTACCTCACACTCACAGCAAATGCCCACGGCGATGGCTCAGGACTGCATGCGTTAGCAGCGACCGGCGGTGGCGTAGTGCAATATTCCCAGGCCCAGGATGGTCAAATTTACGTACCTCGTAAGTATTTCCGTTCGGTTCGGTCTTCCTCCGAGTCCCAAACTAAAAAAAAAAAAAACAAAAAATTGAAAAACCAGCAACTCTTCCCATGGCTTGCTTAGAAAATTTGGAGACTTTTAGCTAGTTGCTTGTCATAACGATACTTTTTTTAACTTAGTAGGCTTTGATTTTCTTTGTTTCCTTCGATTAATGGCAATGAGTAGTATTTGATTAGTTTTCTTTTTCTTCTCTTTTTCTTTTCGTTCTGTTTTTTTTGGTATCTTCCGTTCCGTTCGGTTCGGTTTTCTTATTTGTGCACGTGTTTCCGGTTTCTTTCTTCTGTAATATGGCGATGATGCAACAACAACCGCAACAACAACAAAACATATGGTACTTGCTTGAATTGCACGCACATGCACACTCACACACAAACGTTCTGATAAATCAAAAACATCGACCCAAAAAAAAAACATCGCAACCACAAACCAGATCTCTTTCCCAATGCAGTCATGGGCGGCAACGTGCAGCTAGAGGACCAGTCCCGCAAGCGGGAGATGCGCCTACAGAAGAACCGGGAAGCGGCCCGAGAGTGCCGGCGCAAGAAGAAGGAATACATCAAGTGCCTGGAGAACCGAGTGGCCGTGTTGGAAAACCAGAACAAGGCCCTGATAGAGGAGCTCAAATCCCTCAAGGAGCTCTACTGCCAACAGAAGAACGATTGAGGAGAATGAGGAGGAGGACAGCAGTCGGCACTCGTCACGGCGACTATTGCTACTACCATTACTTCAACTACGACCATCAACGCTGTGGATTGTTCCACCGATCGAGGGAACGAATGCCCCCAAAGGTAGGCCAACAACCACACATACACACACACACACATATACCGACACCACACCACAACCACCATCGAATAGGATTATGTCTGTCTATTTTGTAAACACGCGCTCTTGACAAGAGAATATAAACAATAGTGAAGAAAACACAGATGGCCGGCGCGGTTTTTGGTGTGTGCGTGGAGTGGGAAGAATTTTCTTCGCCACTTCCCCCTAGAATACACATACACATACATAGAAATGTATTGAGATCCATCCAACAGAGAGAAGAAAAAATATACTAAACTAAACAAAGATTTGTTCGAAGGACCCCTCGGTTCGAATGCCATCAGAGAAAGATTTTGAAGGAAAAAAGAATGAAACGTGTCTTAGCTCAAAATGTAAGTAGGCTATGCGGGATCGGAAACCCCCTCCTCTGAAACTTCACCCCCTAGCTATAGGAGAAAAAGAAAAGAAATAAAATGGCGGCGAAATTACGAGAATTTTCGCCCCACATAACCTCTACAACATCTACATGTGTTGGTGTTGTTTTTGTTTAATCTGTTGTTGTTGTTACCTTGGGAACAATAATACATAATCCGCTCCTTCGATGCACGGCCGTTCAAAATCCAACTCAGCCACTGAGTTATATTGAACGGTCGTGTGGAAGAGGCGACACCGGTGAAAAACAAAAGGAGGGGCTCATCCCGATCAAGCCATCGTGTGTCCATGTGTTTCTATTCTTTTTTCTGTTTTAGTAGGCTTAGGAAAAACAAACACACTCTAATTATTCTTTGTATAGTTGGGTCAAAATTATCGGAACGTTATGGAAAATGGAACGAACCTGTTTGTTGTATTTCTTTATGTAGTTGTACAGAAATAGAAAGAGAGATGGCGCCACCCTTGTGTGGCGCAATTTATGATGAAGGAAATTTTGAATTTTGCGGTGAAACAACTACAACAAATTTGTGTGCAAAAAGAAGGTCCATTTTATTAATGGATGGAACGCAGTTTCTCTTCCACTTTTTTTCGTCGTCGATCGCGCTATTTGACTGTTCTCTGTCAAAGAAGAAAACGAGACGATTTTGGAAGGGACAAACAACTCAAAGCTTTGTCTGTTTTCCGTTTTTGCTAAACAAAAACAAAATCATCGGAAACGAAAACAAACTCACACATACAAACTTTTGTGTGCGTGTGCAACTGTAAAATAACCTTTAAAATACTGAAATGGAACCTCTGGCGAGGTTGAGAATACTTGAAGGGTGTTACCCTTATTGAGAAAACTACTAATTGAGAGAGAAAAATTGTACATTTAGTGAAAAAGAAGAAGAAGAAAAAACAAGATGAAGAGAATTAATTTAAGAGGAAACCATTTTTACTTATACACAAGAATACCTATATATTAAATGTAATGACGTAAGGAAGTATAATTAAATTAGTAAGTGAGAGAGAAAGCGAGAAAGAAAGATAAAAAACTAGAAAGAGAATGGTAAAATAAACACTCTAGGAGGCGAAATTTTACTAAGAAACTTTAACTGAATTGAAACACGAAAATGGGGTTAAAGGTTAGATTTGATTTGCAGAGAGGAGAATTATGTCTTTTTCCTTATTGAAGACGACGGCGTTTGAGGAAAAACAAAAACTTAGGGAAGCTCCTCTAATCAAAGAGAAAGAAGGGAGATGAACTTTTACTTTCGGACCATCATCGGAGACCGTACGTTCGCGGACGAAATGAATTAGATAATAAATATGTTTGGAATATTATTTGTCGTCACCGCCGCCGTCAAGGAAAATTGAACATACAGAAAATGGAAAACAATGTGGAATAAAAATCAATGAGCTGTTAACTAAAAGAGATACCGCTAGGTGGAGTTATCAATCAATCGGAAAGAAATCCCATCTGAGTCGACATCGACCACGCGATCTACCAGTCACCACACGGAAATGAAAAACTACCCAAATTTGAGTTGTTTTGACTCAACTGCGGAGTTCAGCCCAATAAGCTAATTTTGAGTATAATCGATATACCTAATTTTAGGTAAAATGCAGATACTACTTAATAGGTAGCTTTGACCGGTCTAAAAATAACTCAAATGAGAGTAAAATTTACTGACTTTTGGGTAAAAATCTCTAATAGGGTTAAAAGCTCAGGTAATATAAATTAATAATAGGGAGTTAAGCCAAATTAATAGCAAAGAATGGGATTTCGTGTCTTATTTAATTACGACAGGTACGAGAATTTGTTCATGTCATCCAAAAACGAAACATATTTCCCTTATTTATTTATTTTTGTTTTGATTTCTTTGATATGCTCAAAATAAATAAACGCTTTCATAAAATACTTAGCAATGCAATTTTATTGTTTTTGAGAATAATGAATACAATGCAATGTAATCATTTTATTAGAGGAAGAGTTTAAACACATGAAATTAATTATGCAATGGATTTTTCAGGTACTCCTTGAAGCGATAAGACAAATCTGTAACGGTTTTGAACTTGCTTACGGTTTTAGATCCCCAAACATTAACTGAGATCATAGCATCCAGTTTTCGCAACAACACGGGTACTTCAGTACCAAAAACAACAAATGATTTGAATAAAACTTCTACAGCCCGTACACTTGAGCTTCCACATGCAATAACGGATCCTTTGAACAAGACGTAATAATTTCCCTGTTTGAATCATTCGGCAACGCAGATAATGTGGGGCTCCGCTACGGACTGTGTCTGTCTTACTGCCAGTAGTTCATCGAATCCGGGTTCCAGATGATTAAAGCTGATCCACCTTATCAAGGGTTCAGCGGCCAGTGCCGTGATGCAAGCATTTTGCGAGCTGCTGGATCTTTTGATGCCTTTGTTCGAAAGTACCTTCGTTAGACGCAATGCTCCTCTGAGTACATCTACAAGAAATAAATAAAAACAACACATGAGAACATGACCGTAGTGCAGAACATTCAGTGTTCTTACCATCCTCCACTTCGGACCAACTGGATTTGTCGCACAACAATCCTACACGAAGCAGCGTGTACAACAAAGGTCCATTACTCGGTTGTTTCTGAAGCCGATCGAATGCCTGAATGATCTAAAACAAACAAGGGTTAAATATAAATGATAATATGTCGACACCAACATTCCACAACGCGTAGTGTTTGTACCCATGCAAATTAACACCACAAACTAACAGGAAGGGGAGGGTTGCGGTTATTGTAGCTGGATTATGTATACGTAGGGGTAAGAGGGGCATAGTGAGCATCCCATGCACCAGCTTGGTCTTCCGGCCGTTCGGAACAAATTGGTTGGTGGTAGGATCAATATCATAATGATATTGAACCTACTACCAGTTGATTTGTTTCATGCAGCTGGAGATTCAGAGCCAAAGTGCGAAATGCTCACTATGCCCCTCCTGCCCCTATATAGGCCAATTTAGGGGAAGCTCATATGTTGGTCATATTAAAATTAATTTACTAACCATTTCACCGTAATAAGAGAGGAAATGTGGGAAGGTGTCAATGATGTCTTGGTATCGGGTTGGTGTATTTTTCTGCAACATCGATTCATGAAGCTCGTGCGCTTGCAACATGCCATCAGCAATCTGTTTAATGTTTGCTGGTGTAGGGCTCAGAGCAGAAATATGCGCAGCAATACTAATTTGTTCTTCACTGACAAAAATTTTCTTATTTTTTACGCGCCGAAACTTGCGATCTTCAGGAGATATGTCTTTACGCATATTTGCTACCCTAGTTTCGATTAATCCAGTGTGGCAACCAGTGTTCATTCCGCCATGAACCCAGAAAAAGTACGACTGTAATGAGACAAAATAAAATACAATATTATCATTAAAGATGTCAGTAGACGTGATAACATATTGGTGCAAAATCTAGTAACTAACTAAACCAAATTTATTAGATGAATATATATTCAGAGCAATCTGCAAAAGAGCTGATTTTGATAACTACATAGATAGATACATGACAGACCGTTATGTTGGATTATCAAAGCGTCGCCTAATGAGCGTAGTTACAAGTTACTGAAAAATCTACTATATTATCAGGTAGTAAAATCAGATTTTATGTTTATAAATTGCATGGTTTGAAAAAGTGGTTCTTCAAAATGGTCCTACCTCCCCGGGTGCACTTTCTGATACACGGGTCTGCTTTAGATGGGGGAATTCTTCTACGATTTGTACAGTAAGTTTTTGCTTGTCTTGCCACGTGGGATATCTGAAATCATAAAATAAAATAAAAATGAAATTGAAACGATAGGACACATCAAAGTTATGACACCACGATTTTGGGTGAAATTTAGCTACTTTCATATATTTCTCGCATCCCCTGTATGTTGAACATAGTATTGTCAGTAATGTAGCAGTATTAACTACAGCGCACTATTGGCGATAGTTGAAAGTGTAGCGATAATATTGCACCTTTCCCATCAAACTGGGCTATTTGAATGACTTTAAAAAGAGCGGAAACGGTCATAAAACAGCGATTTTGCGTCTTTGGCACACTTATTCCTCATGAAGCAAGAAATAAATGCGCCGAAGGTACCGAGCGTTTTGATGCAAAATCGCAGTTTGCGACGGTCGCACTTTTAAAAGTCAGTCTAGTCTACTTTGGTGGTAAATGCACAATACATATACTAGATTATTCTACGCGGTCAATGACGTGAATCTACTCGCTGTCACTAGTGAGGTGACAATTTGTAACTTCGAGTGAGGTGACTCTATTTAATTTGCAGAGAAAGTCACCTCACTCGAAGTGACAATTGCCATCTCACTAATGACAAAGAGTCACTTCACGTCACTCGAACTGCATAAACCTGGCAGTTTTTGTTCAATTTCATACCTTTTTTCGCGAAACATCATTTCACCAAAGAAGTGGTCAGTCAAAATCCGATTCATTTGTAGTAGCTTCTTTGCATCTGGAACCAATCCGACATCCAATAGCTTGGTCAAGGTCTTCTGGAACTTGGTTTCTTTGGCAAGAATGGACCGTACTGTTTCTCTTCGTGGCTCAGACACATCTTGTGTATTCTCATGTATGTTTTCAATTTCATTTTCAGAAGCCTCGCGGTTCCGCTCAATAAAATTGAGTATAATCCTACGGGGACCCACTTCTGTGATGTCCATGAGGGTGAGATCGTCAGCACTGAGGTCCCATAGTGAGATGTTATTGACAAGGTTGTCTGAAACAATATGAAAGATAAATTATGGTTTGTTATATAAGGACTCTAAGTTGAAAATACGCACAGGAGTACTAGTTGGGACGTAACTGAAAAATAATAAGACTAAAAGGTCCCGAAATAACGTGCTCACCTTTTTGGCTCAGCTCTGGTACTCTCTTCGGTCCCAAGCTAATCGATTCACCCCTCGAAACATAGGAAAAACCAATAACCCCTCATTTTATCTGTCAAACTTTCATAGCGAATCAAAACAAACATAGTGTAGTACTGGAATTTATACTAGAATGGGGTACGTTAGTCGATTTGCTTGGGACCAATAGGCTAGTCAAGTAGTGAGCCAATTTTAAATCGTTAGCTTCGTATTGATTGTTGGTAGAACTGCGAATAATTTGATCAAATCTCATGCTCCGTAATGGTGCCCTTTATGTTGTGAAGACTAGTGTGTACTTCAAAAAGGGTAACTTTTGAGGCAAGACAGGGTGTCCTCAACAAATTAAGGGAACAGGATGCACTAGATGTCCACAACAGGTACAGCAAAACATCACATAGACTCCCTTATTCACACTAACTACTCAGGGGGTAGAAGGTCAAGAAGAGCCACCGCCGCCAACTAAAGCTTGAACCGGGTACCTGGGACTCCCACGATATACCCGCGGCAATGGTCAGCAGACGATGTCCTGTGCGTATTTAGTATGTAATATGTTTTATTTGGATACACAAAATGTTTGAAGCCATGCGTCATCTAAACCATAATTTGCATCACCACAAATACACTTGTCAACAATCTTCAACTGGAACGTACTCACCAAATCACTTCACCCGGGAGCGCATTCCCGATGCTTCCACGCATATTTTTCTCTCCACTTCAACCACACAATAACCAAATATCACTTTTCTTTTTCAAGTCACTCCGTGCACAAAAGCAATGCACATCGCAAAACCCTAACAATAGATCAGCGCCGTTCTCATCACCGCGTAAATAAACAGAAATGAAAATTTTCACTCGCGATCAGTGCTGTAAATTCTCAAAATCATTTGAGCATTTTTGATGAAACTGAGAAAAGTAGCTTTTCGCTATCAAAGGGGACCTCCTCCGAATGGGTGATATCAGTTGCTTAGTCATTTGACGAAGGCATGGATCATTCTCATTTGAGAAACGCTATATATCATTCGATTGAGTGTAACCTACACACAAACGGAGCTCTGGTCGACATTCCGGCGAAAAAGCTAAGCCAACCCGACACCAACCTGACTTCTATCAAACCCCAAACCTATGTTGACCCGACATAAACCCAAAATTGACCCGACATTAACACGACATTGGGTCGACATCGACCTTAAATTAGCCTTACATTGATCCGACATCGGGTCGACTTGTCTGTTCGGGACCATTTTCTTGGATTTCTTCCATACTCCACTGTCGTATATCAAATGATACTGAGTGACTCAATTGACAGTGACAATGAGCTTCGAATGAAAAAGGGGCTCTTCAAATTATGGTCATGTGAGAATTCGTTTACACAGAATTGATTGAATGGTTGTATTGGTTCATCTTCAATCGAATGATATGAAAATTTACAGCACTGCTCGCGATGCAACAAATTTCTGGTCCGGGAGAAACAATCAAACCACGCAGCGCCAAATCTTCTGATGCTTGCAATTTTGCAAACATGATGA